GTAGGGGACGGGCCCAAGAACGAACCTGGCATTGAGTCATCTCCGTCGACGCAGATGACTCAAATTTGGCTTTTCTGCCTTGGGTTATACAAGTAATCCGCCCGTTCTAAACGCTACGGAATACATGTTTTGCTCAGAATAGAATGAAATAAACAATAAAAAAAATTACAGTAACCATATAACTGCAATGCACATTATTTATAATATGTATTAGAAAAATAATTACATCCAATAATTCAGGAGGTAAAAGATAAGATGGCTAAGTTCTTAGTACAAAGGGAATCAAACTTGAATTACATTTCTGAGTTAATTTTTTAAAAAATTCATCAATCTTAGAAACAATTCATATTTATTCAAATAGAGGAAAACAAACTTCACAAAAAGGTTTACCATAATACATCTTTATTTGTCATGTAAACCATCAGTTTTTGCTACATCCACCACTGGTGGAGAAACCATCTTTGATCGGTCAGTCAAAATCCACAATAGTCCCGGTTTTACCGGGACTAAAGATCTATTTTTAGTTCCGGTTGGTAACGACAACCGAGAAAAAATATCTCTATTATTTTTAGTCCCGGTTGGTAGCCTAAACCGGAACAAAATATCGGCATGCGTGGCGGAGAGGACGAGGCGTGCGCGAGATCGAGGAGTTAATAAATTATATTCTTTATCTCTTCCTCCTCCTCCTCTCCCTGTTCTATTCCTCCCCTCTTTTCCGTCAGCGGCCAAGCGGCGGCGGCGGCCGGGCGGAGGCGGAGGCAGCCTCGCGCCGCGGCGGCCAGCCAGGCGGCGGCGGGGCCCTCGCGCCGCGGCAGCCGAGCGGCGGCGGATCCAGAGGGGAGGCGGCCGGCCACTGCCGGATCTGAAGGGGGAGGCGCCCGGCGGCGTCCAGTGCGGCGGCAGGCGGTGGAGGCCGGCGCTGCCGTGGATTTTTTTTCCTTTTTTTCTTAATGTGAGATTCAATCTGTGTGTTGATTGATACGATCTGTGTTGAATGTGTGATTTGATTTGTGTTGTTGTTGTGAATGATTTGGGGATGAACTATTATGTGAATGATTTGGGATGAACTATTGCTGTGAATGATTTGGATGAACTATATTGTTGTGTGCTGTGAATGTTTGATCTGAGATGATTTGGGAAAATAGGAAAAGAACAGTGAAAAAGGAAGAGAGAAAAGAAAAAAAAGAAAAAAAAACCTTCAACCGGGACCACATCTTTAGTCCCAGGTTGTAACATCAACCGAGACTAAAAATCGATCTTTAGTCCCAGGTATTTGAACCGAGACTAAAGATAGCGTCTTTAGTCCCGGATTGTTACTCCCGGTTGGAAAACCGGGACTATAGAAGGTTCCCAACCGGGAGTAAAAATCTTTTCTCCACCAGTGCACGCACATGTGCCAAATTGCATGAAACTGATGGTTTCCATGTCATGAAGCTTTGCGAAGCGCATAAGCACAATTTATTTTTGTTTAAATGACATCATATAAATGATATCAAAATCCTTTACTTTTGTTTAAATGCAAAGGAATAGCCTGTGCGGAACCATTCACAAAATGTTCGTGCCTGCGTGCGTGCGAGCCAAGGCCAAAAGAATAAACGAGGCTAATCTTGCTAATTTAAGTGTTTGGTTAGGATGGTACATGAACATGTACCGATTTTATTTAAAAAAACAAGCATTTTATTTTACTAAAACAAAACAGCCACTAGCATGCAAAGATGTTATCAGGGTGCACCGCGTTAATTTTACTTCTTCTTAAAAAGGAAGAAGCATCGGGAAAGAAGGCCAAAAACAACCTTATAGAGGCCATCATAGAAGTATACCTTGCCGACAGCACAGATCACGCGAATCTCAATACCATAGGGGCCATGCTATACGCTCGAGGGCAAGGTTGCCACCCTCAAACTTCTGATCAACGCAATGCTTGTGGAGGTTGGGGCCACGGCCACCATGTCCAGTGTATACAAGTACATCGCCGCGATCGTCATCATCTTCATAACCACCGGACACGATGATAGATGTGGCTATGGGTTCCCCTGAGGAAGACTGCCTAGCCTTGACAAAGTCAATCCAAGCCTGCACCTGGCCGTGTAGCCCTATAGCACGCAAAGCTCCATGCGGAAGAAGAAGGCGTCCCCAACCGAGATCCTCGGGAACGGCCCCACGATTCGGCAGTCGCGGTTGAGCCACAGGTCTCGGTCCCCCATCAGTACCGCGGCACGCAGGTCGGCGCGGACGCGGCGGCGCCGAACCCGGCGACGCCCGTGAGGCCGAGCACCTCCGCGCGCTCGTCGTCCCGCAGCAGGATCCCGCGGAGTAACTCGAACGTGATGCGCGCCTGGCGCACCAGGTTGCGGAAGTAGATCTGGTCCTGCACGCTCAGCGAGGACACCCGCACCAGCTCCGACGACCGTGGCCGCCACTTCTTCGCGGCGGACCCTTAGCCGGGCTGCACCACCACCGGCACGATTAACCCGGCCGCCCCCGCTGACGACAGGTAGCTAGACCGTCGCGAGCCGGTAGTAATCCGCCAGGAGCGTCTCCTCCTCGGGGTTCGGAGGCGGCGATTGCGGCGGCATCATCACCGCCGCCGCCGCCGCCGATAGGTCGGGCGTCGCCAGCACAGGAGTTGCCACTGTCGCCGCCTGCGCCTACACTTGCGATGGAGGACAACGTGGACACCGGCAGCGACTAGAGGACGAGGACGGTGGCGGCGGTGTATTTTACGATTCTTGGAATTTTTTATTTTTGCGATTTTTTTTATTTTGTATGCGGTCAGCTTAAGCGCCCGCATGTAAAAATTGGATCCTCGCATGCGGTTGCATTGGCCACACGCAAAAATCCCCATTTTTACAAACTTTTGAGTGCAAGACCGTCTATCCGTATGGGTTTAGGGTTTAGGGTTAGGGTTTATAAAAATCGATTTGAGCCGTATGCAAAAATCGGCCTACATTTTTTCATACGGCTCCTTAGAAGACCTGTGTAAAAAAAATATATTTTCGCAAGCAGGCCTACTAACAGGCCCTCATGTGAAAATAAGTTGATTTTTGCAGCTAGCCTCTTAAGCGACCGCATGAGAAAATTGATTTTCGCAAACTTGCCTCTTAAAGGTTGCCTACAAGTCTGACTGCCCTTCTCTTTCCCTCTCATCATCTTCAAAACAATTTCAAGTCATCCTTATCTTCTCACTTCCTCTCCTCTCAATTCTCATTTCACGGCAGTATTATCCCTAGTGTTGGTTGACGTGGTACCTATGCAGCTCTTTTGAATTTTGATTAGGACTTCGTCTCAAGTGGTATTGATGTGACGCTTACGTAGTAATTTGATTTGTAAAATAATAAAAACCATGGGCCCATGTGTCATGCTCACCAGCACCGTACCACCACCCGAGTTTTCCCCGATCCCCGACCCTTACTCCCCGAATCGCCGCCGGTTGCTGCAGCGCGTCTGCTCTCCGGCTCTCTGGATTGGGATGGTTAGTGGCTCGTTTTGACAGGGTGGAGCACGATCACAGCTGCTGCTGTTGATTGACCAGTGGCCAGATCCACGTCATTTACACGGTGCGTGGCTGTTCTTCGATCTACGGGTGAGTGTTTTCTGAACGAATCACTCCACCTGTTCGGGATTGCTTGTAGAAGAGACAAAAAGAGAGTGATGTTGTTTCACAAAAACTGATAATTAAATTCCGCATGCGTGCGTGCGATTCCAGTCTACGAGAGACAGCGGGTCGGCGAGCACCTCGCTGCGATGGCGTAGCCTCCGTCCTGGAATCGAGTCAGGTGCACGGCACGGCGGAGGGGGTTCGGCTTGGTAGTGATTGGGAGCGGCATGATGAAAGGAAGAGAGGAGAGGAGAAATAGGGCCATTACCTTCCGCTATTACGAGACCCATTGGCGGCATCAATGGCGAACTACGGTGAACCGATTTGGGGAAAAACCTTCTCGTCGAGAGATAAGGAGTTGTGAGGATGATATGTGGGCTCACATGGACCTCACCATTTTTTATTATTTTTTGTGTGAAACTGATATTGCACCCCACAAGTTCTATTATTTTTCCGGATCGAATTGTCACGTAAGCGTCACGTCAATGCCATGTAGGACGAAGACTAGTCAAAAGAGCCACGTAGACGCCACGTCAGTCAAAGTAGGGGACAATACTGCTGAGGGATCTCTTTTGCACGGTTTTGTAACTTAGGGGATGTGTTGTATCCGGTTTTACGGTCTAGATATAAATTTCGAATTCGGAGACAAATAAAGAGACCTAAAATGAACTTATTCCCCAACCAAACAATGCCATCCCGCTAACTACCCCCTAGCCCTCAACCAAGGCCAGCCCAGCCGATAGAGGCAAGGCCTAGCAAGCAATCCACCTCTGTCATGGTGCCAGGCCCAAGGCTCGCATGATGCCAAACCTCGCTCTCGCATGCCTAACGCACATACGGGATATGGCACAATGGCGCACAGCTAAAATATGCTACACACGCGTGCCCTCGCCATGTCGACCGCCACCACCCACCCCACACGCCTCCACGCCTTCACGCTGCGTGCCCCCAAGACAGATGGCCCGTGCGATGCGCTACGCCACTCACGGCACGAGGCGCGCTTCTTATCAAGTAATTATCTCCTAGTGGGAGTAGTAGTTTTCTTCTGTAGGGGACACGCGAGTCCGTACAAAAGATCCACGGTTCACATAAATCAATACTACAAACGTATGCGCTCATAACGTGTGCACACTCATCACTGTAAGTACGCACATACACTATTCATATGAGCACATTCGAAAAACGGGCTTGGTATTATTATATAAAATACCAGTGGAGTTGTAATCTTTTGGGCAATGACACAAAAGGATAATCAATCAAATGTAAAAATTGCACTCACAAGATTAAATTGTTGCAATGGTAGAATTATAACAAAAATCACACGACATTACATAGATTTATTTGTTAGCAACAACACATGAAACAAAATTACTAAACAATATGCAGCATAAAAAAGGAAATATACAAAACAAGATATTAAAAATATGGGTGTCAAGAAGCATTGTCTCCAATATCAATGACTATACTGTCATTGGAAGTCGATGGCACATCGGCAATATTTCCTTCATCTCCACTTGGAACCTCAGTCTTCTTTCGCTGTAGTGCCAAGCTCTTATCAGAAGACAATGAAGCAGCACTAGCGGCTCCGTTTCCTCCTCTTTTTGGAATCTCTGCCCTCTGCAGCTTCTCTGCTAGGGGCTCCATCCCCATTTGTAACAACAGGAGCCATACAAAGGTGAGCAACTCTCCGCCATTACCCAGACTCTTCGCATGTAGGTACCCTCTGCATCTAGATGCAGAGAAGCATAGCATCTCTACCCACACGCCCTCGATCACCTCCCACATCTTCGTATTATCAAGACACAACAGTGCCTTAGAAAGCACACAAGCGTTGTGGATAAAACTAGGGCAACCTTCGCTTGACTCCATCTTGGCAATTATCTTGTGTGCAAGATCTATGTCCTCAAGTGTTTCATCCCCAATGATGCCTTTGAGCTCATGAATAGCAGTTGTGAAGAGACTCCTTTTGGTGCCGGCCATTAGCATATCAGGATTATTCAACAGTAGGTACATCATATAGTTGGAAATTTCTATGCTCCGTGTGGCTCCCTCATTGGTATATCCTTCACTTAGTAAGCACAAATCAGTTGCGAGGTGCCAGAGAAGGACGCTCTCATCAAATGGTGCCCTTACATTCCAAGCTAGGTCTTCATTGTCACAGTTGTTGCGCTGAAGCGACCATTGGCCCCTGTTATCATTGAACATCCGATAAGAGGCAACATTTGTTATATAATCCTTCCACCCAGATTTGACATGTTGAAGAACCAACACTATGATGCTTCCAGATGAATCACAAGGCTTGATGCTACTACCAACATAGTTTCCTATGAGTCTACACTGAGAAACCTTGTAACTCCATGGTGGATTGTTGCGAAATATGTTAGTATATACCCAACCAAATAAAGATAAGAACTCAATCATTGTTGTGCAACACAGGAGTACATATGTAACCTTGATATCATTGCTCTTATAAACTTCTTTATGACTTAGGAGGAAGATTCCGGAGGCTTCAAACAGGAAGAACAAACCCAATATCCGTAAAATCCTTGAAATACTCTCGAGAACCGATCGGATCGATCTTGGACTTTTTGGAATATTTTTCCAATCCGTACTCCACACGACATGATGATCTGGTACTAACGTTCTCAATTTAGTGTAGAGTCGGTGAAAAGTGTGCGCGAGTTCTTCTTGCAACAATAAATGCACATCATCACGTATCCACAAGGTTTTGAGGATACTAAGCCGAAGAGAATATGGCAATGAAAGATCAACAAATAGCATATAGGGCTTAAAGTGGCATCTATTACCGTCAACATCAGAAGGATTCAAGACAAATTTCCTCGCTTCTTCCACATAGGACTCAAGAGAAATATCAATTCTATCCCCTTCTTCATTGCTCTTTTCTATCTTTGTAATGAGGCTATTAGAGCTAACAAGCATGTTAATGCTAGCGCTCCTGAGAGCCCACGGCTTCTCTATGCATTTGAGAACTCCAAAGACAAACATCTGCATAGCTGCCTGCATCATCCTCAAGTCACTGTGAATAATGTCCAGCCACCATGACTTGTAGAACACATAGACAGACACGGTTATTTGTGACACAGTGGTGAGGACCTACACATAGACAGACACGGTTATTTGTGACACAGTGGTGAGGACCTGCCTCCTCCAAAGCTCATTGTCTTCGATGTTGTACGCAGTTATAACATCTTGCCCACCAAGGTGGATTAGGAGGATGGGAGCCCAGAACACTTCCAGGCTGTAGCTGCCCTGTACTTTGAAGCTATTAGTGTAATCTTGGTTCTTGTGGCGGTTGAAGAGAGAGGCCATGGCATATATTACCGTAGCATCGCTGCCAAGGTAAGCAAGCCATACTATGGATCTGAACCAGGAAGGAATAGCACGCTTACGCATCATAGCAGAGAAGAAAAGGAACACTTGAATGCCCATACTACTGAGGGCGAGGATGCGCAGCTGCCACTCCTCCCACCATTCAATAGCACTAGAGAGACCCATTATGTTCTCCCTGTCTCTCCGTATATCTCACCTATGCTATATCTATCTATCTATCTTTTCTTAAGAAAATGGATGAAAACCCAGTCTGTTACACCCAAAGTGGGTATACACAGCCAATGAGCTATCTGTGTATCTATTGCGCTCGATCTATCTCTACCTATTACACATAGAGTTGAAGTGAGAGATCAGAGTTGGATTCATTTTGAACCCCCTGGCTAATCCAATATATAAGCGCACGACTAAGCCATGCATATGGTCATATTGATACTCAAGTTGTAATATATTAATTGCTCAGTTCCAATGGACTGGGCTAATATAATCGCACTTGACTGCGCTAGCTCTTGTGGACTTGTTCAATTCTTCATCCAATATATTAATAGAGGGATTATTTGTTTACTTATATGTCTATGTGTGCATGCATGCGTTTGATTAATCTTGCTTAATTAACTTGATTGCGGCCCCGTGGACTTTTCTCCTTAAAAAATAACGACAGCATTGTTAAACAGTTGTACATACTTACCAAAGCATCCAGATTATTGACACTACACTACAGTGCATGTACCAATGACTAGGGGACAGTAACATAAGATTGATATCTAAATGTAACGATGAGTTGATTCCACTGCCATTTAAGCACCAACTTGCATGCTCTCAGATACATTGATAGGAGACAATTCCTTTGAGCTTGGGCGGGTGTAAAGAAAGAACTCGATCGGATGAGCTGTGGAAGCGTTGAATTAATCTCTCTTGGGCCGCACCTGTGTTAATATAGGGGCGATATCAATCATGCATCGCCGTGGTTTTACAAGAATGGTGCCGCGTGAGCAGCTGGATTGGTATTGCCAACTAGCTCTAGGATTGCATTTACATTCTGAATCAAGATAACATACACATGAAATATTACATTTTATCTAACAGCCTCCTTCAATCACAACTTTTCTACTTATACTTAAAATATTTAAACCGTCAAACTGAAAATGCTTTTGTAAAAATAAAAAAAATGCCGTCTGCAATTTGATCTCCGGTTGGAACAAAATCGTCTTTCAGTAATTTTCTTGAGGCTCTCTTTATAAAAATGATTGTTCACCTCAGTATGTTCCGCGTTAGTAAAATATTGTGAGCATCACTAATATGGAAACAATGCCCATCATATAAAGTTGGATGATGACAAATTTTATATAAAAAATTGTATCTCTTGACGGGATATACAACTTTGTAGTTGATTTTTTTAATTTAAGATTGTTTGTGGGGTCAATATTAATTTTTTTTTTATAGTTTTTCAAATGACCACGAACGGATACATATTTTGTTTATCACAAACACTTACCTTTGACAATTATTTATTACCATGATTAAATCATGACATGATTTCTCATGTTTCACCTATGCACTTCCTACCAGATTAGCAAGAAGCAATTTTATTCATTCTCTAATTAAAACCAACCGTACAATTTACCTTTTTATTTCCTTCGTGCGTGTAGTATGAAGTGAACAACATAACTTCATTGAACTTATGGATGACCTTGTTAGATCACTTATATGTCATACATATCATATTCCAACCAAACTGTAGATATCCTTTTATTGATTGGCTTCATTTTTAAACCTTTCCTTTAATCGTACATAATTTATTCACATAGTGTCCCACAGCAACGCGTGGGATTCCATCTAGTTAATGAATGAAGCATCTCCAAACATGCCACGAGAAAGGTCGACAGTTTAATTCGCGTGGTGAGTCGGAGTCCATACTCGGATACCCGCTATTCAGTGGTGGATTCACCGCCTGGGCACCACGGGCAGTTGCATGCCCGGGCTTTGCCTGTGCGATCCATTGAGGTCTAATGATTTCTCTGTGTTGAATTCCATAGATTTGCTGACATCTTGGACAAAATTAGTAGCAGGCTAGAATTTTAATTAGAACCAGCTAGCTTTGCAGCACTGTTGCATGCAATTAGACCGTGGCTACCTGTTGCCGACTTGCCCACTTCACCATGGCTGATGTGATCCACTCAATTAGCAGCCTAACGAATCATCAGTCGGCTTGTTTTTCAACAAGTAAAAATTTACATACATGTTGAACTATGCTTCTATTAGAAAATTGTTCCATGTTCAATTTGATAGTAAAATTAGCATATAAGCATCACATCAGTCGGTAGCGGTTTTACCATCTTAGTTAGACTTGCCCAGGCTTAATAAAATTCCTAGCTCCACCTGCCGCTATTATAGTTCCACTCTCCAGCATAATAATTATCTGGTACTGTAATGCTAGTTTTAACTTCCTACCCTGATCTTAAAATACTTTTGAACAACCAGATGTACTGTTGGTGAATAAATTGTGTGAAAAAATGGCATATTTGACAGAAGAACAGGCTGAATCTACATGGTTTTGCAATTTTATCTACAAAATTATATGGAATGCATAATGTGGTGGACTATGATGTTTTTTTTAAGAACATTGGTTGATGTTAGTGTGTCATTTTGCTTGTTATTGTATTATTTTCTTATGTACGATAATAGTATTTGTTAACCACAGATAAAAAAGGAATAAAAAATTATTGGCACTATAATCACACCCTACAGAAAATACAGAGTTGGAACATTAGTGTTCCAAATACTAAAAAGAAGTTCAGATATATAATGATAAACCATAACACCAAACAACGAGAAAAAGCAATTGACTGATCAAACAAATGCTGAAATGATCTTGTGAGCTAATGTAATGTACTTCATATTCCTCATCCTCACAAATCTCCTGCATCAAGTTTTAGTTTATTTCTCTTAACTATCTTCAATGTGAGAACTTATATTTTTCCTTTGCCCTTCTTACTAGACCTTTTAAGCATCAACAGTTGTTCGCATACTTCTTTCATTTCAGGGCGCTTATCTATGTCCGGATTGAAGCACTTCATTGCTAGAATGCCAATGTCTTCGAGGGTAGGGATATTTTTGTCAGCACTGATCTCATTGTCAAACATAGCCCTCCCACTGCCCTCTTTCTCATAAACTTTGGCAAAATTGATGGCAGTATTATTGTCCTTACCATTATAATAAATTCGTTTCCTGGTAATCAGTTCCAAGAGAACAACTCCAAAACTATAGACATCGCTCTTCCGTGTGAGAACTCTGGTATTAACGAATGTTTCATCCATGTAGCCCATCTCGCTCCCCACAATCCTGCATTTACCATCTTCACCAATCTTTGATGACCCAAAACCCGATATCTTTGGGACAAATTTGTCGTCGAGAAGTACAGTGACTGTTCTTATGTTTCCATGTAGTATGGGTTTTGATCTACTATGCATATATGACAATCCTTCTGCCAACCCAATAGCAATGTCTAGACGTAAATCTAGTGGGAGAGGGAATCTTTTAGTATCATTGCCGTGGAGAATGTTGCAGAGGTGCCCTCGCTCGATCAATTCATAAACCAATATTACAGCGTCCATCTCATAGCAGAAACCCAACAGATTGATAATGTTCTTATGGATAAGTTCAGAAAGGCTATTCAGTTCATTGGCACATCTCCACTTCCCACGTTCAAACATGTTGTGTGTCTTCACTGCCACCTGTGTGTTATCCTCAAGAATTCCAGAGTAGACCACAGTAAACATATCTTTACCGATAATTCTTGAATAGTTTCCTGTTATTTTCTTTATTTCCAATGCTGTGAATATTCTTTTGCCACTAACATAGAGCGGAGTTCCTTTGTTTTCAGATTTGGCCATGTTCACGTTGAGAATGCCCATCATCCTAGGGAACACCATCTTGATAGAGCTGATAATGTTTGTACCTTGATGGCTTTGCTTTTTAAAATCATTTTGTGTTTCTGCAAACAAGTGCCAACCAAAATTTTCTTGTGGTGCTTGTTGACTCATCTTCCTAAGCATCCGAAGGTATGCAGCCACATCACATATATCAGGGCGTCTATCAATATCCTCTGCTAGGCATTCCTGCACTAGTTTTTCAATCTCCAGTAGAACCTTCATGTTGCTCTCATTAGCAATCATAGGATCAAGCAATTCTGTCATCTCTTGTCCTTCAGCAAGAGCTTGAGTGAGACATGTAGCCCTTTTCTTGGTGATTAGTTCCATTAGAACAATTCCAAAACTATAAACATCACTTTTTGAGGTGAGACGCCCCTCCTGGTAATACAGAGGGTCCATATAACATGTAATCATATTTTCAGTATGAGTTTTGTCTGTTGAGAGAAGCCTAGATATTCCAAAATCTGATATTTTTGCATTAAAACTGTCATCTAGAAGAATGTTGGAGGGCTTGACATCACCATGTAAAACAGGGCTGCACATGGAATGCATATACCCTAGAGCATCTGCACAATCTATAGCAATGTTCAATCTTATGTCCAATGAATCGAGGCTATTCTTGACATGAAGATGGTAATCAAGGTCTCCATTAGACATATACTCCATGACCATCATTAGATTATTTTTCTCAGTACAATAGCCGATAAGCCTGACTATATTCTTATGGTTGATTTGACTATGGACAATTACTTCTTTAGCAAACTCTTCTTCAGAATCCATATGAATATACTTCTTCACCACAACAGCATGGTTATCATCAAGAATACCCTTGTAAACTTTTCCGAGTTTACCATTTCCAAGCCTTTTGCTGTAGTTACTGGTAATTCCTTTTATATCTTCTTTCGTGAATGCCTTTATATTAGAAATGTTGTCCTCTATCCATTTTGGCTTTTCGATGAATTCATTATGCTTGTTTTTTTGAAGATCCATTAGACAATATGATTGTCCTTGCTCCAAATAAATTGATGATCGCCTGGTCATATGAAAACTGTATGTTAAAGATCCATCTAAATGAATTGTAGATTTTAATCCCTCGGGCAGAGGCAGAGCTAGTATGGGACAAGAGGTGTACAGATGCACACTCTTTTTTATATATGTTTTGGTAAAATATTCATTAGATAGTATGCCAATTAGGTATTTATACTATAGTAGGGTACAAAAAATTGCCTTTTCAACCAAAACACTAATTATTAGCCTACTTAAAGCATATGAGACAACTATTTTTGTTTAAGCTTTTCTACATAAATCTTCAGTACTCTAGTATTATATAGCATTGGTTTCTTAATAAACTTCCTACCCTCATTGTAAAAATCATGTGTTGGCCCCTGCCCGCAGGTGCATAGCATCAACAATATTTCTATTCCAAAAGTAATCGTCCACTAAAAGCAGAGTTGCAACAGATTGCAACTTAATTTACCAACAATCTCATGAAACTTCGTGTCGTTGCTTACACAGTTACACGTGACAAAATAAAAAGGGTAACATTTGGTGTAAACCTGAGTTTATTGCATCCAATATGCTTTTGCTTTCAACTTGAAACTTTTCAGCACAAGAACAATATCGCTTTTTAATTAACTCTGAAGTCAAGGAACTCTAAGATGAGGTATGTATGATATACACATGCTGTAACCTATATATGTATAACAAAAACAATATATGACATGTCAATAAGAAGATAAGAACACAGACATACCGGTGGTAAGCCGCGGCGGCGTGCGGTGGCGCGGAAGGAGAGAAGGCGGCGCACCGGACCTGTCGGCGGCGGAGCAAGCTAAGACAGGGTTGCCGGTGGTGTCAACCTCTCAGTGCTCTCTTTTGCAAGGAGTTTAGCAATTTTCACTTTGTGTATTGGAAGTTGTCCAAGGTAATTATAGCATGAACTTCTCCGAGGTCTGCATGTGAGGATCCAAGCATTGGATGCTTACCCAGTATAAATCAATTTTCTATAATCATTCAATATTCAATTTTAAAGCCTTTCTCCCGTTAGATGTATATATAATTTAGTCAGCGTTGTAGTTGCGCTCGTTTGCTCGAATCTCTTGTAGCATTATAGAATGTGAATCGCCTTTGTTGTGTGTTGACATGCTTAATGTCTTGTTTGCATGTAAGGTTATAATTGTTTCTTCTATTTAATATTATCAGCCTTTGTTTTGAAAAAGAAGTTAACGCGATGTCATGTTATATGCATGATCTGGCTGGCCACTTCCATATAGCATACGACCAAGCTTAAGGAACGGCGCTTACTGTGATGAACAGAAGGTCAACTCGATTTATTTTCAAACAAAATATATGAGAAATTTATGTTGCTCCATCTTAAAGAACCCAGACATCATCAAAGTACGAGTAAAAGGGCTAAGAAACAGTGTGCCGTCACCGGTATTGAGTACTGACAAGATGGAACACCAAGTCGTTCAGTGACAGATGAGTTAACCAATTGTGCTCGAAAGCTAGACAAGCTAAGCGCAAAAAATTAACGTACTAACCAGCCGTAATTAAAAAAAGCAGATTGCTATTGTATTAATGGAATCAGCCACTCTGTAGCTATCCCTATTGGCTAATATCTACATGAACCACTGAGGCACTGACTCTCGACAGGTATGAATTATTAGCAAAACAGCCAAAACACATACTTGAGTCCTACAATACTACTCGTTGGAATGCCTAACTTTGATATACACATGCTGTAACCTATATATGTATAACAAAAACAATATATGACATGTCAATAAGAAGATAAGAACACAGACATACAAACTAGTCTTCCTTTATCAATAGAATTCAGATACGCTCACCGGTGGTAAGGTGGTGTTTGGATCCAGAGACTTAACTTTAGTCCCTGTCTTTATACACTAATTTAGAGTATTAAATATAGACTACTTACAAAACTAATTACATAAATGAAAGCTAATTCACAAGACAAATTTTTTAAGCCTAATTAATCCATAATTAGAGAATGTTTACTGTAGCATCACATAGGCTAATCATGGATTAGTTAGGCTCAATAGATTCGTCTCGCGAATTAGTCCAAGATTATGGATGGGTTTTATTAATAGTCTACGTTTAATATTTATAATTAATATTCAAACATCCGATGTGATAGGGACTTAAAAGTTTTAGTCCCATCTAAACAAGGCCTAAGCCGCGGCAGCGTGCGGTGGCGCGGAAGGAGAGACGGCGGCGCACCGGATCTATCGGTAGCGGAGCAGGCTAAGAGCCTAAGACAGGGTAGCCGTCGGTGTCAACCTCTCAGTGCTCTCTTTTGCAATGAGTTTAGCAATTTTTGTGTAATGGAAGTTATCCGAGGTTATAACATGAACTTCTCCGAGGTCTGCATGTGAGGATCCAAGCATTGGAAGCTTACCCAGTATCATTTTTCTATAATCAAGCAATATGCCATTTTAAAGACTTTGTCCCGTTACATGAATATAGAATTTAGTCAGCGTTGTGGTTGCGCTGGTCTGCTAGCATCCCTTGTAGCATTATAGAATGTGAATCATCGTTGTTATGTGTTGGCATGTTTAATCTCTTTTTCGTGTAAGGTTTTATTCGTTTTTATACTAGGTGATTCCCCGCGCTTTGCTGTGGGAATTACTAAGTAATTCTCAATATATATTTCTTTTACAATCAAGCTAGCAGTAAAAAGAAAAAAAATAATGAAACAACAGGGTTTATCAGTCAAATGATACATGTGCTTTAGTGTAAAACTTATTGATAAGTATATGTTAAATATTGTAGAAGTGATAGATAGATTTGTTAAAATATTGTGCAAATGACATGAGTGGTGATGATTGGATATGCTTGCATTTTGATTTGCAGAATTAAATAAATTGTAGATCATGTTGTATACTTGCATGAGATTAAATATGTAATTATTGCTAGTGGCTGACGATGCGGCATGGTTGTATGTTGAGCTTTAGACTTAGTCCATTTTAATTTTAACTTTATAGAAAGTATAGATTTAATATGATCAGCCTAGCTAGCTTTGTCTTGAAAAATAGTTTAGCGAGATGCCATGTTATATGTATGATCTGGCCACCACTTCCATATAGCATACGACCAAGCTTATGGAACGGCGCTTACTGTGATGAACAGAAGGTCAACTCGACTTATTTTCAAACAAAATATATAAAATTTATGTTGCTCCATCTTAAAGAACCCAGTCATCATCAAAGTACGAGTAAAAGGGCTAAAGAAACAGTGTGCCGTCACCGGTATTGAGTACTGAGAAGATGGAACACCAAATCGTTCAATGATAGATGAGCTTGCCTCAAGTAATCAAATGTGCTCCGAAGCTAGCTAGACAAGCAAAGCAAAAATTAACCATACTAACCAGCCGTAATTAAAAAGGCATATGCTATTGTATTAATGGAATCAGCCACTCTCTAGCAATCCCTATTGGCTAATGTCTACATGAATCACTGACTCTCAACTAGGAATTAATTATTAGGAAAACAGCCAAAACAGATACTTGAGTCCTACCGTAGGATCGAACACGAGTAGCCAAGCCTACCAGAAAGGGTGAATGGTAGATTACGTCAGCGAAGTCAAATAATCGAATCTTAATCGATCAAAACACACCCCAATCTCAAAAGCCAATGGAACACACGTTTGGTGGTCTATCTGACCTACTAGGATCGGTCTGACCGAACTCTAACCGGTCAGAACGCAGGTCCTCTCGCGGTCTGACCGTCAGCCTGAAAACAGCACGACAGCGCTTCGGCAAAAACACGATTTCTCTTAAACAACCATTGGATCGAGTTACAAACTTGATAGAATAAACTAGACAAACTAAGGAAGAACTCCACAGAAGGGATTTGCAAACTAATAAACGGTTTAAGAGAAAACACCCTCGAAAGTCAGCTGTATCAGAATTTCAGCAAATCCGAACAAAACCTAAAATTTAAGCAAATTCAAATCTAACAAGAACCAATCAACGAAACTTTCCAGATCTGATCTATGAAGTACTAGAAAGGTTTTGAATGGATTAACTTGAACAAAATCGCAGCAAAACGAACAATCACATGTTAATGCCAAAACCAAACATAAATGTAAAACTTATAAAACCGGAATATATATAGATCGTCGATGCGTTGATGATTGAATATGGTCTTTATTGCTCAAGTATTGTTCACAAGGTGCAGCCAAAGCACCCTTATAAGTTTCTCTCGAAACCCTATCTAATCTCTCAAACTCGGCTTCCTAAAACCGATCCCGGAAAGCCTCATGCTCCCTCTCTATTTATACATGAAAATCCTCCTACTCAAAGTAGGAATATAACTCCTAGTCATACTATGACTCTATCCTTAATCACCAAATCAAATTACAATTTACCAAATTGTAATTCTCACAAACTCTCCGAAACCTGCAGCCACAGCCGGCCACATAAAATTCACCGAGTCAGACTCGGCTTGCCTTGCCGCATGCCCAGGCCAGACCGACGCCCTGCTTGCATCACCAAGCCGAGCCGCTGCATGCTGCACAGTACGCATACACACATGCATAGCACAACATGCATCACCACGCTACTGCAATCCACAGTAGGCACACATATATGCATGCTACAGTACCACGTGTACTGTAGCATCATATACTCTAACTCAATTTGTCACTCCAATCTCCTTCGCGAACACCGACGCTTGCACACACACCTCGTGAAGCCCGTTGTGAAGATCTCTCCCACACGATGTCCATCCACCGTATGCCATCTCGTATCCAATTTTGTCACCCGGTATCCTTGACCGTCTGGACCTCAACTCCTCCCTAAGTTTAGTCCCGATCCTCACCATTGACCGAAGTTGACCTCCAAGAATTCTGACTCTAGTCACCTTTTCACATGGTATCCCGACCGCACTAGACCTCTGCTTCTTCCTGAGCATAGTCCCGGTCCTCACCATTGTCCAAGGCTGACCTCAAGTCACCTGCACATAATT